TATATATATATATATATATATATATATATATATATATATATATATATATATATATAACGGCCCTCGTGCCAACAGCTTTGCTTTTGACACCCCCAACCAACCAGCTCCTACCCACCTGCAGCCGGGAAGCGACGCCCGCCAACCGGTGCAGGTGATCTGAGGAGGGGGGCAGGCTGGACCACTTTTCAAGACAGATGAAGTGAGCCTGGATCGGTGGGTATTTACAGGGTCCCGGGTCCTACAGAGACTTGGACACATGCTCAAGTACTTGAGAGAAAACGAGGGCTGGAAGCCCAAGGGATTCAGCCATTCCGTCCTCACGAGGACAGAGGAAGTCCACTTAGTTGCAGCTGAAGCTCTGGCCCCTCAGAACTGCCTTTTGGGTTGCTTTGAAAAAAACAAAACAAAAAATGAAATTTTTACACATCTAAGTCGATCTAAGTGCGTCTGTAGCTCTACAGGACTATACAGAGAAGAACTTTACATCAGGAAAGATAAGCTACATTGTTTCTCCTCCTCGCCATTGGCAGATGGTGTGGGCCCGCGGGTCTTGTGGTCCTTCGATCAGTTCGGTAGGATGGACTGCAATGCGGGGAAGGATCCTCCTGTCCTCATCCCCCACTCCACTCCCCAAAAGGAAGGCTCTCACACAAAAGGCAGTGGGGGGGGGAACTCCAGCTAGTGAACCTCCAAAGATGGAAGGAGGCAAAGGGGATTTTTTTAAAAAGGGGGGGGCTGTTACCAGGAGGAGGAAGTCCTACGTGAGTCCTCGCTCCCCACATGCTAGCACCAGGCCAGCCAAAAAAAACCATTCTTTTTAAAATATATATATATAAGACGCGACAACCGTTTAAATGTTAACATCCCGACTTCCAGGAGTGGGACAGCTTTGCACAAGTGCCTCTGGGAACTGGGCCCTCCCAGCAGATTTCGTAATGCAAAGTCCAGTCGCTGGGTTTTTAGGGGTGGTTCACCTCCAGAACTCTTGTTCCTCCCCCACCCTGTTTTTGGCTGGACTGGAGCGCACATTTCCGGCTTGGATATATGTAATGGCTGCACAGTTACATTTAAACCGTTTTTCAGTTCACCCACGGAGGGAGGGAGGGAGGGAGAGGGAGGGGGGAGAGAGGGGGAGAGAGAGAGAACAAGAGGAGGATGAGAAGGAGGAAAAGGATTGTGGGGTCTTTGATGTTCTCTGACCTTGGTAGTTTTCTTGCAGATGTTTCATTATCAAACTAGGTAATGTTATCAGTGCCAGAAGGGAGCAAAGTAAGTGGAGAAAAGGAGGAGGAGGAGAGAAAACAAAATATCAACTATTCAGAGTTCCTATATTTGGAGAAAATAGCAAGAGGTTCCGAAGATTTGCTTCGGGCTCCGTGCATCACTCCCAGTGCCTGCCATGAAGCCAAGGGCACAGAAGATGGGCAGGATCTGACCTCTCAGGATTGGGCCATCTGAAGAGCTGTGCACAAGGGTCAAGAAGAGAAGAAGACTCCAGCGCCTAAAAACAAAGAAACCACAGACTCTGCCCAGGTGGTTCTGGCAAAGTCAGGACTCTTTAAATTCAAGGACGGGAATATATCGTGTGCACGTTTTCAATCCCTCTCCTCCCCCCGACGGGAACGGGAAAAAAAAGAGAGGAAAAAATCCCAAAGCCCAGTTCCCAAAATGGATTTGAATGGTGAAGTTTCCCCAGGTTGTGGAAGGAAGGAAAACTAAAATTAAAATAATCCAAGATCCGCAAGCCAGAGAACCAACCCCCCTCCCAAAGAACAAAAAAGAAGGAAAAATTAAAAAAAGACCAGGCCCCCTTAAAAAAATAAAATTAAAACCGAAAGGGAACCAAACCCTATCTAAGATCTACAGCAATATTTAACTGGGGGAGTAAAAGGATCCATTGTCTCTGCTTTTTTTGTCAGTATAAAAGGTTCCTTGATTGAGAAGAAGTTTCGGGGGGCTTGTCTTGCTCATCTCCTCATGTAGGGCCCATTGAGTGATTGCTTGGGGACCCCGGCAGCGTTCATGTAGCTGTGGTGCGAAGGGCCTGTGTACATCATGTTCCCGTGGGGGTTGGGCTGCATAGGCTGCTGGGGGTAGGCCTGGCTCCCCATCATCCCCATCTGCATCTGCATAGGATACTGGGCCGTCTGGTTCATGTAGGCAGGGTTGCTATGGTAACTGCTGTTCATCATGGGTTGGGGCATCCGGTAGCTGTTCATGGCGTTCAAGGTGTTCATATTCATGGAGTTGACGTTGTAAGGGGCCGTGGGCATCAGGTTCACCCCCATATTCATGCCCCGCTGAACAGCCAACGCCCGGGGACTGGCCTGCATGGCCACGGCTGGAGGGCTGCGGCCATAGAGCTGCTGCTGGTGGGCAGCCGCCGAGGGCAACGGAGCCGATTTTGACCGGATAGAAATGTGGCCCTTGACCGGCATCTGGCCTTGCAGCCGCTGGGTGTGAGGGATGCCGATGTTGGTGGTGGGCATGTTACACTGGAGCAGGGGAGAAGTAAGGTTCATGGTCGTGGAGGCCAAGTTGGGCGGGGGGGTCATGGTGGCTTGTGCTTGGGCCGCTCCGGCCAGAGGGTGAGAGGGGGCCAGCTGCGCCAGGCCTGTGTTCGACAAAGACACGCTGGTTGCATAGGAAGTCACAGCAGAAGAATGGCTGTAAGGCATGGCGTGTGGGTCCATAATCGTGTTGGTCAACTGCTGCAACTTGGCTAAGCTGAAAGTGGCCGAAGGCTGGGAGTAACCGCCGGCCCCGAAATCCCCGGGGAGCCTCTCGTAGATACTGATGTTGCCGGTGCTGCCGGATTCCGGGATTTCCATGATCATCGGCGCCGGAGTGAAACTGTTGTTCATGCTACACTGCGACAGAGACGGCTGCTGCTGGGGTGGCGGTGGCTGCTGCTGCTGCTGCTGCTGCGCTGGGGGCGGTGGCTGGGGCTGCTGGGCCTGGGGCTGTGGAGGCTGCGCCGTGGCTTGCTGGTTACTTGGGGGCCTCTCCACCACGCAGTTCTGGGGAGACTTGATATTGCAGTTGGCGGTCGGCTGGACGCTGCCTTGGGGCATGAGGCTGCAGCTGCTGCCCATGCCAGCCATTTGCTGGGTGACCACACAGCTGTTCTGGGTGAGGCTGCTGGAGGAGGAGAGCCCCCCGTAGGAGCAGCTGCTCTGCGAGGAGGCGTTGCCGCAGATGCTGCCCCCCATGGTGGAGTCGTAGCTGCTGGGGTTCTCGTAGTTCTCGGTGGTGCTCTCGATGCTGCCCAGGTCACTGAAGCCGCTGTCCACCACCTGCTGGGAATGGTCCGACACCGAAGGCACGTCCATCATGGGGCTGGTCTCCATGTTCTGCATAGAAGGGGCGGAAAGGGAGCCTTGCTCGGGGCTGATCTGAGTGTAGCTGCTCTCCAGCGCACCAGGCACACTGGGGCTGCTGACGGAGCGCACTGACTGGCTGGGGTGAGACTGGACTGAGGAGATGGGGCTGTTGTGTTCGGAGGCCTGGCAGTCTTCCACCATCGGCATCTGGGGGTCGTCTTCAGCCTGGGTGTAGCTCTGCAGGTTCTGGCAAGCAGCCAGGGTCTCCTCACAGTCCTGGTACGCCACGTCATGCTCGTGGTTTTCTTCCTCTTGGGTCAAGGACTGCACGGCCTGCACTGTTTCGAGGTCGAGTTCGCTGTGAGGGATGGGCTCGTCTTCCTTCAGCTCCATCAGCCCTTCCTTGGGATGCTGCTCTTCCTCTTGGTCGTCTTCTGAGCCAGGAAGCAGGTCTGAGCCTACCGAGGTCTCATGGGACACCGGGTCCTCCTCAGAATCGGCCTCTCCTTCGCTCTTATTTTTGGCGTCCTCCTCTCTATCATCCTGTGTGCTTGTTTCTAAAAAAGGCTCCTGGACTTCCGGCTCTTCCTTCAGTCCTTCCTTCTCAGCCTGCTCTTCCAGCTCATCCTTTTTGACAGAGCCCAGGTGACCGTCGTCTTCTTCGTCATCGGCATCGTCGTGATCTTCGTGCTGGTTAGCGATGGTGGCAGCTTCCTCTTCTTCCTCTTCCTGGTCGTGCTCGGGCTCTTCAGCTTCCTGCTGCTCTTCTTCGGATGGCAGCCTCTGGTCTTCGAGGGCTTGAGGCTTCTCTGCGTCTTCCTCCAGTTCGGGTTCTTTAGAGTCCATTTCTGGACTGTTGCTGCTGTCCACGGGAGATGTTGCCCTCATTTCCCTAGCAGGCATAATATCTTCCTCTTCTCCTAAATCCCCGACTTCCGGAGGCCCATCATCATCTTTCCTTTCTTCAACACTGGGCAGAAGTTCTTCCTTCTCCTCAATCAGCTCTTCCTCGTCCTGTACTTTTGCCTTATGCCCCGATTTGGAACTGGCTCCCATGAGCTCGGTGGTCTCTTCCAAAGGAGGCACTCGGACTTTCCCCCTCCTCAATTGAAAGCCTGGCTTGCGCCCGGGCCTTTTCTTCCAGTGGATGGGCTTACGGCTCTTGCCCTTGGGCCACCCTTTCTTCTTTTTCATGGGTGTAGAAGTGCCAGGCTGGAGCGGAGAATCCAGCGACTCGCATTTTCTCAGCAAAGGAACAGGCTTCAAAGTAGGAGAATCTGAAGAGAATACAAAACAGATGGCGTCAATTTTGGAACAGCAATCCACAATTATTTATTGCTGGCATTGTCAATAACCAAGAGCTGATCAATAAGGTTTGTTTATGTTGGTGGTTTGTAAGGATTCAATAAGGTAACTATCATGCCTGGCAAGCCAGCTTTTCTTCTGGACTTCAGACCTGCCACACTATCTACTGTCTACTTTCTATTGTGGGAACATGGGAGGGGGGATTATACAGAATTGGATATGTAGCCATAACAACATTTTTCTTAGAAAGCCAAGGTCATCTTTGTCTCTACACCTGGCTGGAACTGGATGGGTGGAAGCTACCAGTATCGCAGTGGAAGATTGGACCATGTGATTAACTTGTGGGTGTTTGGGGAAGGATCTTGAACTTTCAACTGGGTGGGAAAACCTGGAAGCTTTCAGATTTGGATTTTGCCAGATGTGCCAACATGGCTCTTTTAATAAGTTGGAACTTTGAGGAATCCTTTGCCTCGGACTCTGATTTAATTTTGGATGCTATTTAGAACCCTGACAGTAACTTTCTCAAAATCCTGACGTCTGTGAAATGTTATTATACACTATTAACGAGGACAATAATATTTATTTTTCTCTTTTTCATTTTCTCAGAGACATATTTGGTCTGAAATAATCAGAATTTGGGGAGGAGAACTATATCCCTTACTCTCACTGTTGCAGAAGACTGTCCCATACTATTGGCTGAGTAAGTGCGACCATATTAAGTAAACTTTTCAACCCTATATACTTGCATAGAATCACACAAGATTTTAGTCAACTACATTCTGGGCCAGTGTGATTGGGCCAGTGTGATTTGTTTCACTGGGAAAATTAGACTTCTCAACTCCTAGACTCAACGCATATGCTACTGAAGCATTTCTAGAAAATAATAATAAAATAATAACAATAATAATCATAATAATGAGTGACCAACCCTAATAACAATTAACTTAATACCATTAAAAATAATGATAATCTGGATATTGGACGTGGCAGAACCTGGAGACAGCAGAATAGAAGAGAAAGACCTGCAAATGGAAGTAGAGCAATTGTGCCAAAAGGAAGCAAAGGTAGTGCCAATCGGTGCCTTGAGTGCAATCCCAAAACAATCGGAGCACCAACTGAACACCATCAGCATTGACAAAATCCCCATCAGTCAATTGCAAAAGGCAGCTTTACATAGCACAGCTTACATCCTGAGACAATGCCTCTTGAACTTCTTCAAACATTCTTATCTGCCTATCCAGGTCCTGGGAAGGACTTGATAGGTGGATAAAAATACCAAATCTAAGTCTCAGCACCTGACTGAGCATCTGATGAACCATAGTAAGTTGAACTTGTATGCTACTCATCTCTCAACAACATTGGGCGACTCACAACCATGAAACAAAGGGGAGGGGGGATGCAATCAAATCAATAAAAACATAAAAACCAAAGATAAGGGAATCTACTAGTCAACCAGAAAGAGAGATGGAATGTCAATGGAAAACCACTTTTTATTATGCATCTGTGTGTACTTGGATAACATGATATCTAATTTGTCACAAATATTTTGCATGCAGGAGATTAGGTTTTTTTAAAAAAAAAATATCTCAGTTTGAGAGGCATATTCCAAAAAGTACTCAGGGCGGGTGGGTGGGTGACTGCTATTATAAGATGTCAGCTAAAAGACTTGGGGGAAACGTGTGGAAGGGCTAAGACCCATTTACACAACACCAGTTTCCCCAGTCTGTTTTCTTCTGGCAAGGGAGTTCAGCCTGGTACATCTGAACAAACATAATTGGAAAGCAACCTTCTACTAGGCTAAAAATACATCATGCTACTTTCTAATTTTAGTTTAGTCATGGATGAGGTGAGGGTTGCAGAGGGAAAAGGTAGGGATACAGAGCGGGATGCAAAATAGGTGCTTACGCCACTTCTTCAGCGGCATCATTTTCTAGCCTCTATATCAGAATTTTAACCTTCATCTTTTGGAGGTTGTTCTCTAGGTATTCTCCTTTTTGCAGCATCTTAATTTTGGATAAGGTTTTCAAGGGATCTCAGTGAAAACTACAGGCAGTCTAAAAAGGCGAGACAGCTACAGGGAACAGCATGCCTAGCCTATTCCTGCCAGTTCTGGGCCCCTTAAGCAGCAGCTTTGGGCTGAAATACCAGGAAAGTGGGCTGGTAAGAATAATTCTGCTAACCTTATCAGATGGAACCAAGGTCAGAACTCTTGCTTGGGCTGCACAAGCACAGCTGCTTTGGTTTTTTTTTTCCTCTCTCTTCAAGCAGGAACATTTATTTACAGCCATTTCAGCAAATTTATCTCCAGCTAGCTAACTATTTCTCACAATTTTCCCTATCATTCTTGAAAAGGGAGGGAGTCATTGATGCTGAAGGCATGGAGACTTTGGACAACACTTCTCACTGCCCCACAGTCCCTCCCTGGGTCTAGGTTTTGTATCGTGCCTATTCCCCACGTCCTCCTTGCTTCCCCCCCTTAATTACTATTCACCATACAATCAAACCAGCCACATGACCACAGAAACGTCTTTGGACAATGTTCAGCCCCTGTTCTGACTGAGGCTTCCCAAGAGCAGGGAGCCAACTCCTTGTCCTGACAAAAAACCCTTTTATTAACTGGCTGTGAATTCTGCTCATTCACATCCAGCGAAGTCTTTCGAGGGAGGATTTACAGTCACAGACCTTATCTGGCTTGGAGAGCTGCTAGGCCCATATCTGCAGAACTTGACAAGGAGTCTCAGAGAGTCACGAACCAATGAAGCCAACTAATTGTCTCCTGCAAACTCTACTCCCCTTTCTCTCCTCTATTATTTCCTCTGGGAGGGGCCATTCACCGTCCCCCTGTGGCCTTACTCCCAAGTCGACCCGTTCTTTAGCTGTTCCCTTCGTCTGGCAACTCTGTGCATGCACACACTAGGAACAGGCTCCAGTTGTTCAGCTGCCTCCCTGATGTCCGACTCTGAAGGCAGCTGGTAACTGGCAGACCGCCCTAGCCCCCTCATTGCCCCCGACACAGAGCCCTCATCAGAGCCTTCCTCAGACTCCAGGACTGGCCCATGTTCTTCTCCAACCTCTTCACTGTTCGAATCTGCTGCCAGCTTTGCTGGCCGCTGGCAGGCCACAACAGTCCCTCAGCGAGGAAACGGAGTATTGCTCTCTAGAGGTAGACACAACTGAACAGGGGAAACCTTTACTTGTTTATATTTGGGGCAACCCATCTGTCACCTTTTTGACCTATCTAGCTATCCTGCTAGCCGTATTTCCCCTTCCCTCCATATGGCAAACGTTTGGGGGGTTTGTTTTCTTCAAAAACAGAGGAGTATTTTGGTAAAGTAGGGCTGGTAGTTAGATGGGTGTCATCCTTATGAGGTAGACCAAACAGCAAACAAGACCAGGTAAGCTAATTTTACAGTATTGGAGAACTACATTAACACAGTCTTGCAAGTACAAATCACCAGCCCAACTCCTTTACTGCCCATGCCACTAGGGAGGGTTCTCCTCTGAGCTTCTTCTCCTGCCAATGTTCCTGCTGTGGACTCATCTGCCTTTTATCTGACCGTCACACGGTTGCATCTCTTTGCTCTGTCTCTCTCAAAGGCCATTCCCTCATACCAAGATATTGGGTATGCCCACCTAAGCCTCAAAACAATTACCGTGTTTTTTGGACTATAAGACACACCAAGATTTTGAAGATTTAATTTTTTTAAAAAAAAGTTTTTGCACTTTGCAGGGCTCCCAAACCCTCTGTACGTCTCGTTTTTTGTGAAAAATGGGGCATGCAGAGAGTTTGAGATGCCTGCAAAGTACTCATGGGACTGGGGGAGGGAAAAAATGAGCAAAAAACGGCACCTTTTCACAAGAATGGGCCCATTTTTTGCAAAAAAACAGGGCATGCATAGCCTTTAGGAGGCTTATAGAGTGCTCCTGGGGGCTGAAGGGGGGCAAAATTGAGCAAAAAAGCCCATGTTTCGCTCATTCCTGCCCTCCCCAGCCTCCAAGAACACTCTGAAAGCCTCCTAAAGGCTATGCACGGCCATTTTTTGCAAAGAGGGCAGGGGTTTCAGGAGGTCAAAAATTATGTATTCAGTGTATAAGAAGCACCCAGATTTTCACTCTCTTTTTGAGGGGAAAAAGGTGCGTGTTTTACTCCGAAACATATGGTAACTCAAAATTTATAGAATATCAACCTTGGGCATTCTTGATCAGTAGATCCTAAGAGAGGGAAGAGATCCACCATCCTGGATTCAGATAAAGACAGAATCAAATTATCAGGAAACCTACCAGCCATATCGTCCGATTCCTCTGCTTCTTGACTTCCTCTCTTTAAGGAGGACCTGTGCCTAAGAGAATCCTGTGGAGAGAGACGGCGAAGATATCCTCGGGAGAACAACTCGCTCTCTTCCTCCTCCTCCTCCTCCTCTTCCTCCTCCTCTTCCTCCTCCTCCTCGTCCTCCATTTCAAAGGTGGGCTCCAGCTGAGGCATGGGCCTCTCGGAATCAGAGTCCTCAAACGGCTCGTCCAGGACCTCTGTTGTTTCTGAGATCGTTTCGGTAACTACGCTGCTGTTGTGGTATTTCCGCTTACGGACTCGCCTCTTCCGGGGAATGGGCTTCTGTACAAGACAGACAAAAGAAAATGAGAAAATAAAACAACAACAACAAAGTGAGAAAACACTGCAAAGTATCTCCACAATCTGCTAACTCATAAGCTATCAAGACTGCAGCCATCTTTTCTTTTGGATCTCATAATCTTCCTATTATGCTACTGTGCATTTTCTATTGTGGGAAAATGGGAGGAGGGATTGTACAGAGTTAGATTATATGTAGCCACAACAAAAACATTTCTAGAAAGCCAAGGTCTCTGCACCTCTGCACCTGACCGGAACTGGATGGGTGGAAACTGCCCATATGACAGTGGGAGATTGGACCATTGGATGGACTTATGGGTATGGGGGGCAAGATCTTGAACTTTCAACTGGGTAGGGAAAACCCAGGAAGATCAGATTCGGGTTTTCCCAGATGTGCCAACATGACTCTCTTAATAAATTAGATCTTTGAGCAATACTTTGCCTTGGACTGATTTAATTTTGGATGTTATTTGGAATCCTGACACAGACTCCTAAACAGCCCTTCTTTTACCAGTCTTGGAAATGCCAGAGACCCTTATGGCAGTATTGGGGAACCTTTTCGGCACTGAGTGGCAAAACAGGAGCGTGCGCCAGAAACCGGAAGAACCGCCTGGTGCGCATATGTGCGCCAGGAGGATGATCTTCCGGTTTCTGATACGTGCATGCACACCGGCCACCTTGTCTTCTGGCACGATCTGCACGTGCGAAGACCAGCTGGCTGCTGCGCATGAGCCTGCTGGAAACCAGAAGAGCAGCCTCCAGGTGCGCAAGCCTGTGCTGGGAAGAGGATCTCCTGGTTTCTGGTGCGCACATGCGCACTGGCCAGCTGGTTTTCCAATTTCTGGTACGCATGAGTGTGCGAAGACCAGCTGGCCAGTGCGCATGCCAGAAACCAGAAGATCCTCTTCCCAGCACACGCATTCGCATGGGGGCGGCTGTTCTTCTGGTTTCAGTTCTCCCACGCATGTGAAAAGACCAACTGGCCAGCGTGCCATAACCCGGAAGAGCAAAGGGCAATGACTCAAGTGCCCGGAGCAGTGGCTCTGCATGCCACTTCCAGCATGCGTGCCATAGGTTTGCCATAGGCTGCAGAGTTCAGCTTTCTGAGCTCATGCTTATTTTTTAACATAGCAAATCGCTGATTTCTGTCACTTTTAAAGATAATATTGGAGAAATGATCCGTAAGATTTCCAGCAGCTGCCAGTATGATCCCTTCCTTATCCTTCTGCTCCACTATGCCAGCTAACCAAACTCGGATGGAAAACCAGCAGGAACAAGGGGGTCCCCGAGAGTCCATGTGCGTCCTGAGGCTGAACCCTTCTTATTTGCTTAATGCACTTTCATCTCCCGAGCCCTTTCAACAGTGGGGCAGCTGAAACGCACCTTCCGCTTCAGCGCTGGCTTGGTGAGAACCGGTGGAGAGCTGGAGCAGGGGCTGGTGGGCTCCTCGTCTTCGTCTTCACTGCTCTCGCTGAAGTGCCTGAGTGCTGTGCGGTCCCCTTCGCTGTGCCGCCGGGCTATCCTGTCGCACTGCTCCGAGACGCGGCTTTTCAGGGGCTCCAGAGCTTTCAACTGCCCCTTCCAGACCTCCATGCCTTCGCTGCATCGCCTCTGGCCGGCGGAGGGCTTCTCGCCCTTGCCAAACGGCCCCTGGGAAGAGGCCGGCTTGTCTTCCTCTTTACTAAAGTGCCCTCGGGGAGTCGGGGTCTTTTCCTCGCATTTGCCGCACTGCCCCTGGGAGGACGCCATCTTCTCTTCGTTCTCGGCAAATCTCCCTCGAGAGGCTGCCACCGCTGCTGCCGCTGCGGCTGCCTTTTCCTGGCACTCGCCGCATCGGCCGCCCCTGGCCATGGCCGACTTCTCCTCCAAGGTCAGCTTTGGGTCCTTCTCGGCGAAGGATTCCCGCAGCTTCTTGTTCTTGCGGCTCCACCGGCCCCTGCGCGGCGTGTGGCTGTTGGCGGGAAGACCACTTAGGGGAAGACTCTGCTTGCCAGATCGCAGGGCATTGACCGGGAGTATCTCTGGCTTTTTTTCACTCTCCAAGGGAAAGCAGGACTCTCGTTCTTTCCTCTCCCAGGAGACGCACTTTATCACCTGTGGGTGGCAGGGAAAAGGGGGGGGGGGCACAAAAAGAAATTTGATTCTTTTTCAGGCTGCCATTGAAACAAACAAACAAAAAGCTCATGGGACTGGTAGAGCAGGGACTGGTAATTGTTTTAAAAGCGTGGTTATGAAATTGGTGAATGAAGCCATTGGAGTTGTGGAAGTCCCAGGTTGAGCAGGGGCAGACTTTAAATGCCCTTCAAGCAGGGATAAAATCCAGCAGATTCTGACAGACCGGTAGCAGACATTTTTTAGGAGTTCAGAGAACCAGCAAATACCACTCTGGCTGGCCCCAGAGTGGGGTAGGAATGGAGATTTTGCAATATCCTTCCCCTGCCACACCCACTAAACCACGCCCACCAAGCCACATCCACAGAATCGGTAGTAACAAAATTTGAATTTCACCACTGTCTTCAAGAGGTAAGCAAAGAAGTTGGCTTGAAGGGAAAAAATAGAGAATGAGCTTTGCTTCCAGTAGGATTTCTGAAAAGTTGCGAGACTCCTTTTCGACAACCGCTCTCTGAACTGCTAGACCATCATTTCTCAATTTCTTTGTCCCAAAAGGTGCTTCTTCAAGAGGCAACTGGACTTTCTGATTTTTTTCTTGGAAGACGTTTTGCTTCTCATCTGAGAAGCTTCTTCAGCTCTGGCTGGCTGGTGGGGAATGGAAGGATTTATGTTCCTTGCAGACAGCTGGTCATTTGCATCCTTTTAGAGGGTCATTGAGGCCTCTTGGAGATTTGGCTCTGTCCTCAGGGTCATCTGAGTGGTGCAAATGGGTGTGCAGCCTTTTTGGAAGTGCTGAAAGGACCCGTGTTGTAGACTGGAGCTGGACAAGGGGGGAGGGAGACGACATCATCTATCTCCAGTGTTCAACACAGTCCTTTCAACGGTTCCAAGAAGGCTCCACACCCATTTGCACCACTCAGGTGACCTTGAGGACTCAGACAAACCTCCAAGTGGCCTCAACGACCCTCTAAAAGGATGCAAATGACCAGCTGTCTGCAGGAAACATAAATCCTTCCATTCCCCACCATCCAGCCAGAGCTGAAGAAGCTTCT